ATTTTCCGGCGGTCCCTAACCCTTTTCCCTCCAGCTGCAGTCAATTTACGAATGCTTTCAAAGGGGCGTGAAAGTTACCAAAATATTCCGGTGAAAAAGCCTTATAGACAGCCGGATCTTTGCTCAGAATTCTGCGTTCTATCAGGCTGTATGGTTTGGAAAACTTTCTGACCAAAAACGAAAGACTTGGTTTTCTAGCCTTCAGGTTTTCCAGAAACCTTGCTATCGAGTTGCCTCATAAAATGGCCGTATGCATCTCATCTGATAGAAAAATCTTCGGACTATTCAAAATAGTATTCCGATTGGCTCCAACTTTTGATGAAAAATCAAAACAAAGGAGTTGTTATGTTATGGCACACTGTGTTGCATATAGGACTCAAACGCTTCTTTTCCATATTTTTAATGACTGGCTCCACCTGTCTAGATTTTCTGACCGGTTGAGTTTGTCGAGAGTTTCACGGGCTGTCCAATGGTATTCGTTTGAAAAATATATAGTTTTTCATCAAGACAGAAAAGTGAATGCTTATGCCGACCGTTTACTTTGACTTTGGTCGCAAAACTTTCTGCAACAAATTTGCTTATCCCAAACTTTTGACGGTGATTCTAGATAGTACACTGAGAGCACTATCTACTGCAAGTAGTCCGATTTCAATGTAAGTTCATAATAGCGAGATCGATCGCTCACAAAAGTGCTCCATGAAGCTCAGTTTCGGTCTTGCTGTAATGTATGGGGTTAAAAGCATATTAGATAGTGCTACTTCCAAGGCTTATGGAAAAATAATTCCCAGCACTTGGTCGTATATTGGCTGTGAAATTTGATTTTTTCCAAAAGCTACACAGTCTCTGAGTATAGTAAGTAAAAAAAAGAATGGACTCGGATGTTTTTTAAATAACATTTGACAGGAAAGTGATAGAAACTTGTGGTGGTCAACAAAGACTGATCGCATCTTTTTATCATGAAAATAATGTCGAAAACGTTTTGCAAATTACGTTTTCCAGAGGATCTTTAGAAAACTAAGTTACTACTCAAGAACTTGAAATACAAATATTCTGTTTTTTTACATGGATGGATAATCCAAAGTGTCATCTTTCTTTTGAGATCCCCTATAAACAGGATATAGAATAGCTTAAATACTCTATGTTAGAGAATGTCTTTGTATGTAAATTTCTCAATAAGTTCTCAAATTGTGCAATGCATGAATCGTATGGGATATTGTATTGTCGTAGAAATCGAACAATTTCATTTGACAACAAATTTGCATCAAACTCTCGAAGACGACAGAAGCCAAGAAAGTATTCTTGGACTCGATTGCTTTGATCGATAAAACGAATAATAATGGGCAATTGTTGATTTTTGCTGCTATCACCGCATTCATCGACCATAAGCGCATAGACGTTACCGTTCCACAATGGGCAGTTTTGGCTAGAGTAGGTGGAAATTAGCTTCAAATACACTACAGCAGCTCAAAACAACAGTTTAATAGTTTAAAATTATTAAAAAACTTAAAACTCAATTTTTCTCAAATGCTTTCTGTTACACTGGAAAAAGTATTACATTCAGTACCCCATTTGGCACCTAAGGAAGAGTTTTGTCAGCAAAAGTTTTTCTCCATCATGCTTCATTGAGCCACAAGCAGTGGCAAGGCACTTAAAAAACACTAGTTTTCTGAAAACCCGACATTTCAAGAAAAAACAAAAATTTGGTTAACTAAACTTCATTCAAACTTCACAGTAATTTCAGCATATAGGCTCTTCGATCTCGTTGATCGATCGAAGCCAGTCTTATCGTTAGAACACGCTTCTTTAATGAACAGCGGACTTTTTGGTAAAACCTCTTAAATTTCTGTAAACTTCTAAAGAAAATGAGAAGAACTTGTCTGAGAGGTCCAAACGTGTCACCATATATGTAACTCGTCATGGGCAAAAAAGTGATGTAAAAAATCAGGAGAGGTCCGCCCCCTTAAGTCCAGTCTCGTCCGGATCGATTAATTCAAACACTTTCCATTCCATACAGAGCTATGGCTCTATGATATATTGTCTATATTTTGTAAGTTTCATTATCCGTAGAAGACTTTTTTGTGTTATCATAGTAACTTATTTCTCACGACATCTATCTCTGAACGGCAGAAAAAGTTTGCTTAACTATTCTTTCTCTGCACCAGCAGGTGTTTCAGGTTATCTCTTTGAATCATTCAAAGAGGCACCGCCTTTTCCAGCAGTATTTCTTTAATTTCAGTGCTCTCTCAAACATTATCAAACTACTTCTAAGGTCGTTTCGAAGAGACTTCTCTTCCATCATGAATTCGTACCACAATTTAAAATTTTCAGCGCAACAAAAATCTTGTTCGGCATTGATAGCAAAGAATGAGTATCCTAAAAGCCAAAAAAGATTTTGAAAAGCAGAAAAACCAATTTGGTATCTGGTAGTATCATTTTCAGTATTTAAAATATCGTTCTGAGTATTTTGAAGGAATTATCCGTATCTTACCGAATCAAAAGGGTATTTTCATTCTTAAAATACCCTTTTGGCATCCTGCAAAACCATTTTCAGTTGAAAAAGGTATTTATTTTGATAATAAACACCATTTTGGTACTTAGGGGTACCGATCACTCGTAATCTGCTAAATCCTTTTTGATATCCTAATGGGGATGGAATTTGCTTTACGGGCATTGTCAAAGGTGAAATACCCTTTTTCAAATGAAAAACCCTAGGATCCCTTAGAGTTACCGTTTAGCAGCAGTCGGGATATCAATTTTGGCTTTTTACACCTCATACAAAACCAATGTCAGTTTCGTGGACAGGACGAATACCCTTTTGTTTTTTTAAAATACACTTTTTTTAGAGTTCTAGACAAAACTCTCATCCATCGCGGAATAAGCAAACAAGTATGAAGCAATAGTTTTAGACGCATTGAGCAAGCAAAGCACGCATATATAGTTATTATTGTTTGTCTTCTATTACTTTGTTAGCTTCGTTGATTTCATCGTTAATTATTGCTGTTGTGACTCTCGTCTGAATTTCTTCCCAATTTTTGTTTGATGAAATTCTCTTTTGTAAAACATCGATGATTGTGTATATACAGAAGAAATGTTAATATTTGCGGTGAATAGGATAAAAAATAGGTAATAGTTAATAAATATCGGTGCCATTTGACATCCCGTTCCGTCCAGGCTAAACTGAACGAGTTCCACTTCAAAGAAAACAACTCTTCTATGAGAGAGAAAACTCTTTGACACCAAAAGCTGAAGGAGTGGATCGAAAAAAGCAGAACTCATTATCACTCAAGAACTCTCTCCCCTGTACGTAATATATGAATTTGAAGTCCATAGAGCTTCGAACTCGAATAAAAAAGGCACTGTTTACTCATGTACCATCAATAATATAAAACAAATTTTTTTCTTTAAATAACATGCAGGAACTCATTCGACGAGTTAAGTTTCTCACCCATAATTCTTCATAATCAATCACATAGTTTCTCTTTTGTTCAAAAAATCGTTATATTGGCTATTTGTAATCCAGTCCCACCGTCATTTTTTAGATAAAAACTGATATAATACAATTCTCCGACCACTGTTCCAAAAGACTAACTCACATAAGTTATTGCGTTATCCATTCCATATACCATATTCAAAATCACCGTTATTAATCAACTGCTGACTAATATGAAGAATGCTAACATCGTCGAGAAACCATGCATTACTCCCGTGTCGAAAGCCGAATGAAAGAGTATGATTCGTACTCGTTGCAGTAATGTTGTAAGAATAATACAAAAAAGGACCGCTACTAGTAGTAGTCGTTACATTCGAATAGTAGTACAATACAATAGGTAGTATAACGGCTGTAATATGTCAGTGCTACTTTATTTTAAGACAAAAATAGATAAGATTCATATTATTTTTTCATCGGTAAATTAGTTGATTTTGTGTTATTTACTAAAGTTTCTTCGTTGGACATATAGAAAAAATTAATCTTTTCAACCGTCGGAGGTGCACAGAGGTACTCGACATATACGTAAGTGTTTTTTCTAACAAATTATTTTTAGTTAATGAAGCAAGAACATATACCTTTCTTTTTTTTTCCATATACATACTTATTTTGTTCTGTACTCCTTATCCCCGCCAACCCAACAATGTTGCTTTTTATCCACATTTTTCGGGTTTTAATTCGCAACAAATGCCTCTTAACAATGGTGATCAGCTAGAAGAGGATTTAACGAGCAGCGGAGACGATTGGCAAATACAATCAACCAAGAAAACAAAAGATAAACAAAAGATGAGTTATCTTCCAGTAACAGCCACTCCGAACATTAACAGTTTAAAAAGAAATCTTTCGACCACTTCTCCGCCATCAAAAATGTTGAGAAATAATTTAAACCAACCGGATCGAGAGCAGTATGCCCCAATTATCATTACTTTTATGGGTGCTGTACCTCCTATGAACATTATTTGATTAAAGTTAATTGAATTAAAAGTTCAGCACAAGTGTGATACTACATGTCGTTTCAATAACAAGAAAGAATTACTTGTCTTTCCGTCGGACGGTGTATCGGAACAGCAATTGATGAACAACATGCCACAATTCCTATTTGGCAATGATGTGAATTACTCAACTTACTCACCTCGGAGTATCAACAAGACGTTTAGCATTGTATTGAAGAACGTTGACGGCACAATCGACGAAAAAGAATTGCTGAACGATATTCAAGCTATTGAAAATGAAGTGACTGCAATTCATCGTATCAAAAATGCGGCATTAGATAAACCAACGCCACTAGTGCGTATTGATTGTGGTACAGAAACTTGTCGTGATCGTTTATTAGCTATACGTAAATTAGTCGTCTCACCGTTTGCATTTCCAATCGTCGAATACATTCCCCCAACAAAGATAATTCGCTGTTACAAATGTCAAGGATTAGGACATTACGCACATAATTGTCTTAATCAGTTGAAATGCTCGAAATGTAGCGGTCCACATTCCATCGAGAAATGTGTTTCAACTACGGTAACGTGCTCCAACTGTGGCGGTGATCATCGGGCTTCCTATCCGGGGTGTAAAGCCCGTTTATCTTACATTAATGTTCTGAAAAGCAAACAATTTTCGAGTGTTGTTTCTAACACTTCACAACAACAAAGACAACAACCAACTTATTCTACTGCTGCCTCTCATTAGACACACGTATCAAATTCCCAAAATCAAAATGAATTAATTAATGATGAAGTATTGAAACAATTATCAGCGCTTGGACAAGTAGTACATTCATTAAAACGTGATATACAAATGTTAACTTATAACTTCAAATCTCAACTAGTGTATTTTAATCAAATGATAAGTAACGTTCATATTCATCTGAATAAATTCATGCAACAGTTGATGCCAGTATTATTAAAAATGACAAAAAATAACGAGATAAAAGGCGATATAAACAAATGTGCGAATATTTTTAATTCGTTACCTATTTTTAATTACAATGTTAACCCTTTCTCATTACAACAACAACAATCTCAATCTGTCTCTTCGTCTCCAAATCTTAATTCTGCGATACCAAATCCTTCGAACATTTTTCCAACCAGCTCAGTAAAAAGTATTACTCAGGTAAATAACAAATCATGAACAGTCGATTTATGTGTCTGAATATCAATAGTTTCAATGCACATTACACAGAACTTTTGGATTTAGTCACGATTACGAAACCTGAAGTTTTTTGTTTAAACGAAATTTTTTCCTTTGACGAAAAGCTGTTTGTTAAATATTTCTCCGCATACAATCATATTTTTAAAAATCGCACGAATGTAAAGGGCGGTGGTGTACTCATTGCGATCAAGAAACCTATTTCCTTTAAAATCATCAATCTACATTTTTTAGAAAAAGTACTCGGTGTTGAGTTTACAAAAGCATCCATTCCAAATTTTAAATTCTTCACATATTATGCTTCACCTAACTTATATTTTAACAACAATTTATTTGATGCTATTGTTATTTCATCTCCTTGTCTACTCCTCGGGGATTTAAACGCCAAAAGTACTCTGTGGGGACATACAAATTCTAACCCTCGCGGTATTCATATTGATTCTTATATCGATGGTGGAATTACCTCTCTTTTGAATGAAAGCACACCCACCCATTACTATGTACGAAACAATGGTCTCTTCAGAAATATTCTTGATCTCGCGCTCATTTCGTCAAAGATTTTTAATCTGTTCTCTTCATTTAATGTAGCGTCTCGTTGGACGAACGTAGGGCACATGCCAGTCTCGGTAGAATGTTTGTTTTTCTCTCGACACCTCCTTCTCTTCGATTGGTAGTTCTTTCCCCGTCAGACATACTGACTGGGACGTTTTTAACCCTAGTACTCCCAAGCCTATTTTTAGCGATAAAAATAGAATGCATTTTGAGAAAGATATTCTTTTTCTCTTTTCAACAAGCATCTGATTAAAACTGAGTTGTTTCTAAGTATTAGTCAATCAAAAATGACTAAACTAATAGGTTTTGTTTATTTAGAACAATTAATACAAAAAACGCGTTTCACACTATGCTGTTTGCATACAGGCTCTGAACATTTGTAGCATGTGTTAGAAACTTTTCTGTCACTTGAATAATCGCAAAGTGAACATCGTTTTCACTTGAGACCCTGGTTGGCGTTTTTTTTGAGCGAAAATCTAAAAGATAGGATGTCAAAAGTGTTCCTAAAGCTTCTAGAAATAGACGACGCTTGTATTTTTTATTCGCATTCCAATTTGGATTTTTCTTTTTCCATAAGATCATTGCATTGATAGCAGCAGCATCAATCATACCATAAAACACACATAGTGGCCATCGTCTTGTACCTCTTTTGGTTTGTACCTCTTTCATGACTCAAGTATTACTTGAGTCATGAAAGAGAGTATGTCACTGACGTCATGAAAAGAAATCGAGAATAGTGATAGAAAATGTTTGATTTATTCATAAATACAGAAGATAAGAAAGGAAAGGAAAATATGTGCATAGTAGAATGATATTCTATCAAATACGTATTTCTTTCACACGAGACAATTATATATTATTCACAATGTCTTTCATACTTCCATCCATAAAGAAAAAAGATTTTTACAGTATTTTCTATGCTTTTCAAAAACAGGGTCCATTTGGACCCTGGTTGGTAGTACTAGGGTTAAGCGTGAATTATCTGTCGTGTCTAAGTCTCCCTTCCAAATTGTATCTAACTCAAACGACACGGAATTGATAACTAATATGGTGACTACGGCTATATCTCAAGCGTATGATACGGCTTCTTCTTCAAAAAATTTAACAAAATACCGTATAGCCATCCCGGCGTTTATTCGTGATTTAATACATGGAAAAAGAAGCGTTTTTTGAAAATATAAAAAAATAGTGCTATTTGAACATAAAGTTCATGTTCGTCGGCTGGATAATATCATACGAAAAGAAATGGTTTTAGTAAAAGAGTTGAGTTGGCGTAAATTCTGTTCGAACACTAATAATGTAAACGATCTCTCTTTCTGGAAACGTATAAGAAAATGCGTAAACCCTAAATCAACAACAGAAATATATGAATTAAAAAATACTGACGGTAAACTAATCTTAGATAACACAGAAAAACCTAATCTTCTCGGTGACTCACTACAAAAGTCTTTTCTTCCTTCCTCCGAATATGATAAAGCCTTTTCCGACGATGTACATGCCCAGAGAAGAAAAGGGAAAAACAAAATGGAAAGAATTTTGTCCTCTTGTACGGGCGTATCGTATATATCATCGTCATGTATATATATATATATATACATATGCCATCCATTCAAACTGCAGCTCATACCTCAGTCATTTTTGAATCAAAATTAATGAACCTTGAAGAGAACACATTCAAAGCTAACTCAATATTTTCTGTTTGAGACCCCGGGTAGACCCTTCCCGCTTTTGCAACGAGTATTTTCCAAGTTTATATATAATCATAAAATTTCGTTTCTATATTCGTTTTTATATTTCATTATACTAAATGTATATACCCTACACGTGACAGAAAAAAAAAACCGTGATATCGTGTAAAAAGAGAAGAAATCCATTTTCTTATGTGTGTATCAGTCAGTAAATTATGTAGAGGCTACACAAGCGCCACTGATAACTACTTTGATGATTCACCCGTTCTCACCGACTACGCCACAAAAAAATCATTCATGCGTAACGCATATTTTTCTAGTTTTTTCTTTTGTACGCCCAAAATTACAGCAATAAAGTGTGCATAATATGTATAATATCGCAATATCGTACCTCATTCTTCAAACTACCAAAATGATTTCTTCTCGTCTTTTCTTACTTTTTGGTGTCGGCATATTTTGTCATTTTGTGGCATGTGTCTCTGGTCATGCCTACTTCTCTTATCCAACTCCTCGTAACACTTATTGTACTAATTCTACATGCACCTCTAGTGGTGCAGCAGGAGCTCAAGGACCGGTTTGGAGTTTACCAGCGAATAGTACATTAGCCACAGCAAGTCCAACAAGTCAAACAACATGTAATGGTTCTACTTTGGTGAGTCCTGCTCCAGAAGGCAATAGTTACGATCCCCGTTTCAACGGTACAACAGCCACTACATGGCTAGCTGGTTCACTTCAAACCCTTCGAATATTCGTTTCCGAAATTCATTCCGAAAATCGAACCGTTTATCCAACTGATGGTTGGCAAATTCGTTACCGGGATGGCGCACTGTCCGGTTCAACATTTTCTCCCATTGCATTTACTTATGTAAATGTATCAAAAGGGGCATCTGTTGGTCCTGCTCCGGCCAGTGGATTTCAGTTAGGTCAGACAGTTCTTGCTACAATTACTGTCCCCTCTACTACGACTACAGATGGCATATTTCAGTTTTTCTGGCGTAACAACGAAGTTGGTCCGGGCGTTATGTGGTTATCATGTGCCGATGTTACCATTACTGCTCTCGGCACTACTACTACTCCACCAACGTTCTTTATTGTTTTTATCGCTCTTCTCGCTGCTGTTGGTGCGGCATTATTTTTCTAGAACAACATCATGTATTCGACGGAGAAAGATTAACAAGATTTCAGCTTTAAGTTTAATTGAGTGTACATTTATGTTTGACTTGGACAACGGTTTGTGTATCAGAAATCAAACAATCTATACAACTGTAGGTTGTACAGGTTGGTAGATTTTCGGGATCGACACAAACAAAATAGAGAACGGACGTGTTCCATGTTTTATCCAACAGTCCATATTTAACTGTTTTTATGATTTATGAAAACTAAATATTTTTTATTGAAAATTATACATCTTTCTCTCCACATTACTATCTCTATACTTCGCAACAATTTGGTTCGATTCTTTCTACTACTTATTCTAAATAATAAAAGATATTTATTGTTGGCAATAGTATTGCTCATTCTGTTCAACAGCAAAAACTAGTTGATCATGGCAATCGAGTATTTATCAAATCGAGTGCCGGTCTTCGCTTTAAACACGCATTTGGTGCCTTTAGAAAGGGTGAATACGATCAACCGCTTCGAAAGATGTCGTCAATCGCCTATATTCTTGGATCGACGAACATTACTTTAAATTCGGCTATGAACCTTCTTCAAAAGGCGAAATCGCTTATCATCGCGACTCAGCGATGAATTAGAAATGTCTCGGTCAATTTATGCACGATTCCTCGTCGATTCGACAAGCCAACTGTTCTTCCAATAATAGCCGAGTTTAATTCGATGCAACATCAACAACTTGCTAGTACTCTGAATGTCAACGTCGTTGATATCGATTTGGGCGATCATCTACGAGACGGACGTCATCCAGACGAATTCGGCTCGGATCTGTTCACACATTGTCTTCTCGAGAACATTCGTTGATGCGAACAAAGTCGACATAGAAGAACATTTCAAGACATTCGAACTGTCCAGCCAAGTAGTGATTCTCCTTCCTGGTTTTTTTCTCTCTCTGAAAATGATATTCATTTAAAGTCTTTACTTATCTTGCCTCACAGCATCGAAAGCCTAGGATTGTACATAGATCTGATTAAGATTATCCCTACTGAAGCCAAACCGAGAATCATGTGTTTCCAGAAAACATTTTTAAATTCGTCCATCACGGATACTGAAATTCAAGTTCCTAGCTATTTTCTCTGTACGCAAGATAGGGTAAATGAGGAAAGAAGAGAGGTGCAGTCGTCACTT